AGAGACAGCATGGGGAAACCCTGTATTGGTCATATGAATTTTTTTTAAACCAAGTTTACGGCTCAACCACGGATGTTTGACATTCATAAATAGCTGTCTCTTATACACATCTAGATGTGTATAAGAGACAGACTTGATGTTGCTTTGAATGTTCTATACATCGTCCATCATTTACATCCCAAAGACATACCTCACTGTTGAAAACAAGAACAGAAACCAAAATGAAGAGTCATTTAAATAATAACAACTTTCTTAAAAAAAAAACCAACATTAATTATAATGTCCTAATCCTCGACACAAAACAAGTGACGCCATTTATCAGATTGACTATTCATGTGAAGAAAAATATGTGGGTGAAACTGCCAGGTCACTGGAACCAAGATTTTCTGAACATGTGAAAACTGGAGGTAAAACACTTACTGCTGTTAGGAGAACACATCAAAGTAACGAACCACAAAATTAATCACAACAACATGTCAGTTATTCCCGGAGAAGAAAGGTATTCACCAAGGAAAATATGAGAGTTTATGGAAATTTGGACCAGGCACCCCACCTGCAATCTTGACCGTGGATATGAGCTACCGGCAATACTGGTGTTGTCACATGATCATTCAAATTCTAGTGCATGCTTGAATGATCATGTGACAAGTGGATCTATGCAAATACATCAGTTTCCCTGAAGATCCTGAGACAGTAATGATAGCTTGGAAGTAAAGTAAGATATTTTATTTCAATAATTCCAATTACAAGAATTATCCATTGATATTATGAGCATTGGAATAGTAGCAAATATTTTCGAAAACATTAATTATGATTACTTTTAGTTTTTTTTAAATTTAAATGCAGATTTTAAAATTTACTAAACAAAAACTATAAAATAGAATCACTGAACTCAAATATATATATAAATTGAAAAAATATGGGGGAAACGCCCACTACTACTGCATAGTATGGGAGGAGTGGGACCTCTTTAAATACTGTATAGTAAAACTTATCGGTAAAATAACAAACAAATAAACAATACTAGAAATCTAAGCTGAAATCTGTGCTTCCATTCTCAATGTAAATAAACTAAGCTGGCTGCTACAGTACTTGGTTCAAAGATGCTATAGCAAAGTTTGTAACAAGCCTTAATAACCTATGTTTTATAGAATCTAAAATTATAGCAATACAAACATTTTTAATACTCGAGCAGTCTCACTATAGAGAGACTACCTACACCCTGTGCCTGAATACCAGGTCGTGTATGATCAGGTGCAGATCCAGTGGGGGGGGGGGGATGCCCCCACTCCTGTTTTGCCACTAAATTTTAAAATTTCAATGTATATCAAACTATGTACTGAAACAAGTGCTACTCGCTTATCTATTCCGAAAATAGTGTGCTCCTACCACCTCCCCTGCCCCGTTAGTAAAGTCCAAGATCCTCCCTGATGATGTGTGAAACTGCAGCATACTCTCAAGAAAATAATGGAATCGCCCGTTGTATTCAGGCACATAATTTTAATTTTAAGTGCTACAGCATACCTCCAGCCTGGGTCTGAATACAAGGGGTGATTCCAATATTTTCTTTTATGCTCGGGGGTAAATAAAAAAAAAAACAAAGACCTTGGCCTTTGACCCTCTATTCCGAATATGGAATGGTCACTTTCTTCGATTATTATGTACCATTTAAATAAATTTTATGATGATCCATTCATTAGTTTTTGCGTAATGTTGCTAACAGACAGACGGATACACAGCGATGAATACATGACCACCTTTTCTGAGGTAAAATTCTCACCAAGGGTACACAGTATAAAATCCAAGAATAACAGATAAATTTTATTAATTTTTTCATCTTTCACTTACCCATTTTCAGCAGCACTAATTATCGTACAGTTGTCCCACGAGTTATTTGCCTTCGTCAGACACGTTATAGAGGCTGAATGCCCGAATAATATATTACGAGGTGACAACTATGAAACATTGAAACAAAAACTATTATTACATTTTCTTGGGAAACTATAGAATTTTGTTGAACTATTTTACAAATTGTTAACATTTTTTTTCTGCTAGTGACAACAAAATTTTCAAAATGTATTTTATATTTGAAGAGCATTCCAAAAGGGTACCATTCCAAATAAGGGGCTCTCTTAAAGAACTAAAAATACATTTAACTGATTTTAAAAAAGTGGAGAAGAGCTAAATAGATTGGTGTTTAAACATTTATTTTAATTATTTTCTTACTGTAAATATTACAATAGTTTGGGCTAACAACAAACAATACAAAGCAACATTAAAAAATATATAAAATGAAAATCCACCACAGCCTGAGACAGACAAAATAGCCAAAGATAATAGCAAAAGTCTTCCATCCATTCCCCCCTTCCCTCCTCACCCTGGCAAACAAGTTTACATTCTAATCTCCTGGGTTCACAAACCTGTCATTGAAGGATTTTGAAAAACAAAAACAAAGATTAAAATCAACTCCACTGTAACTATTACAAAGTACCATCTTGAAATTGTTAAGTTTTGTACAATTTCTTACCTGTAAATTTTCGTCTAAATCCCACATGACAATCTGGCCATCATGGCAACCAGTCACTATTGTACGTTGATCAGCAGTTACCATGACACAGGATACGCAATGTGTTGGGGCGGTGGGACCCCATAACACGATAGGAACCACCAAGGAAGTGGTGCCTGCCATTGATTCCACTGATCTTTATGAAGGGAAATATTTTAAATAATTTTATACATATTTGTATTGTAAATATATATAAAAAACATTTTCATTACATCATGACCGGGCCTGCAGTAGCTCTATCAGCTATCCAAATTACTGACACACTAGTAACGCTACATATTGATGCGCCCACACTGTATAGTTCAATTTCATGGGAAAACAGGTGCGCAGACGGTTGATGTGCGAAGTTCCTGAATATTTTTATATGTTGTGGTTACGGATATGGTGGGACTGTAAGGTAAAGCCTGTGCTGGGAATATATCCTCCGCGCAAAAATTTGGTATAGAAATAAACAAGGGCTGATTTCCATGCATATTTTGCAGAAAATTAGGTTTTGGCCTAATCTTATTAATTGTACAAAAACAATTGTATTATGCAGAAATTACGATTCTGCGCACCTATTTTCTGCGTAATATTGAGCTGGTTTTTGAGGTATAATCCACGCAAGAAAAAACCTTTTAGAGTAATGGGGATACAGTACCGTAATGTATGTCTACTTACTTCGGTTTGCTAAAGGTAAGGTAAATGGCATTATGTCACCATCACCCAATGAAGTGCCAGAATGTGTGTGACATAATTTTTCTGCCATTGCTTAGGCTAGTATAGTAAGTTTATCCTACCCACGGTGAGCAAGTGAGTAGTGTGTAACAAGCGAACGATGTCGTACTACACTTATGTGCATTGGAATATGATTAGCTAGGTCTAGCCAGGATCTAAAATTGACAAGTGCATAACAGCTGCAGTATGGAACACCATGGGTTCTCTATTTTTAAAGAGCTTTTTTTGGAGTTTTAGTATGAATTGTATTTATTTTGTCTTTTTTTTACAATGCTTGACTATACATAGGCATTAAATACTTTTTTGTTTTGTTTTTTATCTTATTTAAGTTTTACAATATTTTTTGTTATTCTTTCAGAAATTTTAATTAGTTTGAATATAATTTTACAGTATGTAGTTTTCAAAAACAATGTTCTTTTTCTTGTAGTTTCCAGTAGTGAAAAGTCTAGTGTACAAGACAGTACAATATATTGGGCCGAGTTGACTTGGGGCCCAGTTGTTGACATGCCGGGGCCGTGTTGATTTGGGGCCGAGTTGACTTTAGCCTTGGGGTCGAGTTGACCTGCTTCCCATGGGCCGCCCAGCTTTATCTAGATTAAAGTATTAGCAATTTCAAAGATCTCGTCATTATTGCTGCTACCTGCAACCTAGTGAGTAGCTTAATCCGTAGGTCTCCTACCGCCAGTCCTCTATCGTAGGCAAAAAAAAAAGGGGGAAAGGAGGCGTGTCCAAAGTAGTACGCCTCGCCCTCGGCATTTCACTCGTCAGAGGTAAACAACAATTCCCTTAACCGAATGCGTGTCTAGGCCTAGGATTTTTAGCACATGACTACCTTATTAGACTGGGAAGTTTAAGACCAGGTACTTAAAATTATGCGCGTACATTTGGTTATATTTTCTATACTATATATTATACTGTACCTTGAAAGATCAAGCCGATACACAAATTATTTTAGCAAGGCTTTCAGAATAAAAACAGTAGCAGAGGATGATGGCAGGTGACTGTTTTATAAGGTAGAGGGCGGCAAATACAAAATTTAAGCCATCAGCAGTATATTTTTATCTTTTTGCAAATTGTTATAATGAGGCCTAGACTTTTTCGAAGATTGATACTCTCTAAAAAGATAAGTGGATCTTTTTTCATTCTGGCAGAGTATGCCTACAGAGTTTACCCAGCTGCAAAAACGTCTTTTGTGAAAACCATAAATCTATGTATAATGGAAACGCTGCTGCACAACGTTGTGTTAACAGTTTACACCTCTGGCATGTAACAGGCCCGTTACTAGGGGGTTTAGGGGTTCTAGTAATTAAACCTCTCTTTTCACAAAGCGGCGCCCCCTTTTGTCCAGTAAACCCCCTACGCAAATAATCAATGAACACTACAAATCCTGTCCTTTGTACCCAGTGGATGATTCAACCTACTTCCTTCACATTAAATAATTGCGTTTTCCAGTTCTTTTTTGGGGTCCGAAATTATGCTGGGCGAATGTTTCTTATGACTTAAAAATAAATTCACATTGAATAGTTTTAAATATCACCCTATGAAGTCTTTGGTCTCTGTTATGGCAATTAATTATTTTTTTCCTTCTCATCCTTTCATTTATATTTGAGTCTATTGAATAATGTGTTTGGTCTTGTGGTTTTGTGTTTTTTTAATAAATAAACGAATACAAGCTGGATTGGAATTATTTTAATTTTACTGGTATATCATTTCAACTATTCTATTAGTTGGTACCGGTCATTTTTCCAACTACGTCTTAAAGCTCTTGTTGAACTTACCGTAGCCTCCTTCCATGTATTTGTTTCAATTGCTTTTGCATTCTTATTGTATTTTGTACTACTTTATTGTATGGAGAATAAAAGTATATTAGATTTGATTTGAATTGCTTTTGTAGAACAGTTACAATATATATCTACAGTATATTTAACTGTAAGATGTACCGTACGTTTTTTAAGCCTCGAAACCCCATTTGGCTCTTTGGTGTCCTCTTAACTTAACTCAGACCCCAACCCCCTGTTGTAAGTGGTGGCTGAGTTCAGTAGTCAGTCTTCCCTTAGGCAGTTTCACGACTCCCATTTTCGCCATCTTTATCGTGCCATCTTTCAATTTTTAATCCTTAGAATATCAGATGACGGATAATTATTGATGATTACAATGCAGATTGACGTAATTACAATATGTGTAATTCTAACCTAATGGTTTTATGAACCAATGATTTTTGTGTCTACTGCCCCCCACCCCACCGGGGATGGAGTAGACACTATGTTGTCGTCTTGCAGTTATAACCCTAAAGTGGTAAATCCAGTAGAGGTTATGAGAATAAATCCGGTATGGAGGAATGATGGGATGAGTCATGAGCTGAAGATAAAAATAAAAAGCAAGTCTACGAAATGTGATGCCAGATAATTAAGACCTGTCCTACAGTAAGTTATCAATTTGCAGTAAGAACAACACAGAATGCTAGATAAGACCTGTCCTAGAAAGTTCGCTAAAAAGTCACTACAGTAGCAAAAAAAAAAATAAATAAATAAATAAAAAATAAATAAATAAATAAAAAATTAATGCAGTAGACACACGCTCCTTCTGGGAGCCTTTTTTGTTTTTTTTAAATTGTGCCGATAGCTCTGCTAGAGGTACGTAATGACGAATCGAATTCTAGTAGGGACTACGTGGCCTATCTACGAATGGGCGTTCCATAGATAGGTGGGAGAAGGCCAGTAAAACACAGAACATTCTTATAAGAATGTATGTCACAAAATTTATGATGATTATGATGATGATGATTGTTTATAGAAATTCACCTAATAGACTGTATCTGTGAACCAATGATGTTTAACAGTACATACACAAACAAAACAAAGACTAAATCTAAGTAACTGCTTTGCATTTTGAATTCATTATTTACATTCCACTTTATTGTTTAATAAAATTACATTACAATATTGCCTCGAAATTGACGCGATTACTTACAGAATGTCAGTATTTATCTTAATATAACATGAAGCTATAAAATTGTTATTGAAGGAATTCTCACATAAAATTATTGCTACCGTAATTAATATAGGCCTACATGTATTAATTTTAACATCAGCGGTGGAGATTGCTAAAAGTAGGAATTTGGTTCAACTTGGATTTTAGTGGTGGATCCACTCGGTTGGTTGTTGAGAGTAGATAGCGCTGTACCGTTCGGCCCTTCCTTTTGGACCGCCACATACTATAAAAAACAAAAAGAAATCAAATATTTATTAGAAGTGCCATTACTATTACAGAAATAAAATAAACATTTTGCCAATATAACCTAGAGTAATGCAAATAAGTACTTGTGGGATCAATTATATTGCCACGGGTTTCATGGTGACCCAGGAAGAAGAGTTTTAGACGCCTTCACTTTTGGAGTCCAGCATTGGAGGTCGACTTCACCCACCAGAATCAAAAACAAACCCACAACAGGGGCGACGCCAGGAATTCCGACTGGTCCAAGCTCCCCGACAAGGGGGTTCACCCCCCCCCCTACCCCGGTCGAAGAAGCATGCTCCCCCGTCGGGGAAAATGAAATCTGTAGGGGAAATTTTTTATTAAAAAATAATAAAATACTGTGTTGAAGATGGAATTCTTATCCTGTCGGGAGGTACTGCAGCCCCTTGTACGATCGCAATAGTATACAAATACCTCGCTAGCACACTGCTAGCGCTATCAGTTTTTAATCCCTAAAATTTGACAGCTTAGGCATGCTTAAATTGCACTTTCGTCGCCCGAGATTTAATTTTTCTCCTACGACCTTGTTGGAAATTCCCCTTCAGGGGATCTAAGCGGGGGGGTCAAGAGGTCCCCGATTGGGGGGTCCTTTGCCTCCTGCCCCCGCTAGCGCCGCCTCTGACCCACAAGGCCTGATAAACAATACCATTGTACCTAATATTAACTATCAGAAACGCCATACCTGTAGGCCTTTTTCTGTGCTTGTGTGACCTCCGTTTGGCTTTTCCCTGTCTTCATGATCCTTGCCCTTTGACTCATCCCAGCCTCCATCTATCGATTGGTCTTCATCAGGGTACGTTTTACTATCATATAAAAAGCATAAAAACAAAGGAAATTTAAACATTAATCATCAGGATCGTCATAATTCTTATGACCATAATCATAATCATGACATCATGACATTTTCATGACACCGTCGTCACCGACATAATCATCAACATCAATATCATTATCATCATCACATTGTCGTCGACATCATCCTTCTACTACTCCTCCTCCTCATTGCAATCATAATAATAATCATCATCATCTTCATTATCATGAACATCATCATCATCATTTTTCTTTGTTACCGGTACTTTTCCTCATTAAATATTATTTTTTTATATCTTGTTGTTAGTTATAATTCAGTGGGTGTTTAGAATAATTATTCTGGTTACCTTCGTTGGTTTAAGCAAGCCAGTAAAACACTTGTTACGAATAGTAGACAACTAAGGATGATGAATGTAGTACCAACGCTAACAGCCACCTTAAATAAATCTAAAAAAAAGTAAATAAAAAATAGAAGAAAGCCTTACAGAATGCATTAATGTGTTGAAATAGGCCTACCAACATTTGCAAAGAATAGTAAATAAACAGACGTTTTATAACGAAAATGTGTATAATGGGCGTTTTTTAAAATTATGGTAATTATCGATCATCTTCATTATCATCATCATCATCATCATCATCATCATCATATTTCATTATTATTATTATAATTATTTATTATTACTATTATTATTATTATTATTATTATTATTAATTGTTATTATGTTTATAACCTATGACCAAATACATACGAGAACGTTCAGCACACTTTTCCCCTTCATATCCAGGTGGACACCTGTAATAAAACGTAAATTAAGTAAAAAGTAAGTACATAAGCTATTGTATATAATAACTATTTATATGTGTTAGATACGCTATAACTATTACAATAATTAATTTGTACCAATGCTTTTAAAACGTATTTGTCTATTAATAATTCATATGTGACTCACATGCAGTAAGCCTCAGGTATTTCTGCTTCATTTGATATAATACACGTTGCTCCATTTTCACATTCTTTAATGTCACAGACAGCTGAAAAAAACCCAATATTAATAAAGAAAGCTGCATTAACATCGGATCCTAACCGAAAGTCGGACCACTTTTCCGAAGCGCTGAATGCCAACGTCCCTATTCTTATACACTGATTCCATTTTCTGATCGCTTCGGTATAGGCTTTCCGATCCAAAAATTCGAATTCAGTGTGAATGTGCCTTAAGCTGGTTTCCATAAAATCGCTACACGCTATCGCCGACAGCTTAGCTTTGGGCGACAGTGATTGGTCTGAGAGTCAGAGAGTTAAACAAAAACTTTTTGTTTAAATTTTGCTCTATTGTTTTGTATATTTGTGTATTTTGGGTGGCATAAAGAATTAAAGAATGAATAAATGAATCGGGAAAATTTTGCGATTGTGTTCAGGGCAACGGTTGCAGTGAAAACAGTGTAGCGGTAGCGTAGCGATTTTATGGAGTCAATGCTCTACTGTTGGTAGAGGATGCCACTTAGCACTAGTGGATGCTTTGATCCAGTAATGCGTGATCCTGTAATGGTACTACAGTACTGTACGTGTACTGTATCCTTGGGCAAAACAAATATGTTTGTTTGCCCTCCTCCACTCGCCCTAACTCACTGAAAAAAAGGGACGGAAAAAAGTTTTTTTTTTTAGATTGTTCTTTACAAATTAAAAACATGTGAGTGAATTTATCTTTATTTTATCTTTATTTTTTGCCACATGCCCCACAAATTAGTTTAAAGTTGTTGTCTGTTGTCCATTTCCACCCGCCCCTTTTTATCATTTTAAAAAAAGAAGGGCAAACAAACAATTTATTTTGTTTGGCCTTATTATCAAGCAATATGAATGCCTCGAGAGATCAATGCTTTTTTTCAAATGTTGTATGTCCAGTGGCGTAACGACGAGTCATAGGGTCCGCTCACGAAGTGTCCTATGTGAGGATAACGTCCCAACTAAAAACAAAATATATATATTGAAAAGATGTCATTTGAGTATTCAACTATTGATTATTCAACCATAAATCACTTTTGTTTACACACAAAAATCGTCAATTGTGTATCGTCATTCAAGACTAGGCCTATTTGAATCTCCATCAATCGTTCTATTTAGATTTTTATAAGGCATGACCATTCAAGCAGATAAAAAGCCAACCAACACAGGGTTCAGGCTATGATTCTGGGCCCCCCGAGAGTGGGGGTTAGGCCACTGTATACGTCCCTTACAGAAGATCATATTGCCACGTTATGCCGTGACACCACCTTAAATTGATTTATCTTCGATAGGCATATAATGAAATCAAAAACTGTGACATTAAACTTTTAATTTTTAGATTTGCACAACAAATACCTACATGCACATATTCCAGAAATGTCCTTAAAACTGGGTTCACATTGACAATCGTAGCTTCCAAATGTGTTCACACAGAAACTGTTGCCTTTTTCTGAGCATATATTTGCATCTCGCTCACATTCATTTAGATCTATACAGAAACGAAACAGATATAGGTTAACGTATATATATATATATATGTATA